TTAGTTATCTTTATTTATCCTAGAGGCCTGTCTACTTTGAACTGCAAAGTCTGGTCTGGAATGGATCAAATTCCGGGGAAAAGCCTTCGAGTCCGTCATCAGCAATTGCCAATAGAAACCGTGAAGTTCTAGCCCAAAGCTCATTTCCGTTGCCTGAGCATTCCAAAGGAACTCTCAAAACGGCTTACTGCATAATATATATTGGAAACGTTGATAAGGGTGCCATCGTGACTACCCTAGAATCCAAAGAAATCCCCAAAGAAATCAGGCCCGCACCATTCGACCAATCCTGGTTTCATTTTTATAATATAGATAGGGCAAAACTTACATGGGAGCGCAGGCCACTGTGAAGCTGCATGCTGGATCAAATATCTAGGCCAATTTCCATGGGTGATCCCCATACTGCTCTTTCCACAAGGATCCATGAAAAGTGACTGGTGTATTGTTGATTGTTTGTTTTCCTCCCTCCTGCCATCTGATACATAATGATGATTGATATTCCGTTGTTACTGTACTTGGGAATAGATGTACCGGTAAGTGGTAAGCATAGCAATACCCACACAATAAGGACTGAGATGGGATGGAACCTTTGATGTTGGTACTGTAGCATTTGGTTGGTCGCATATATATATATATTCTTTGACGCCCGAGAGTCAGTCACCAAAGCTGAAAGCCCGCAATAAGCCAGTATGAAATATTACATGACAACAGATGCGGAATATACCCCTGTTGGAAAGTGCAACACTGTAGCCGCTTTAGGGTTGCAATGGAACTTAAAGTAAAAGAAACCAACCACGTTGTCTCGCATTCCAAGATCTTCAGTTTTGCAAATGGGATAGTTGAGATCTACAGTAAGTTGTCGCTTTCGTTCGGTTGTGTATTGACAGTCTGTGGCTTGAACTACCGGTACAGTACAGTACTGTGGGCACTTTGGTCTATTGATGACAAGTACAGTATGATGAACTCGGTGGGTACCGGTACCTGGTACTGTATGTTGAACATTCATTTTTACGTCTACGCGAGTTTGTGGTACTTTTCTGGCGTCAAGCCAAAAATTGGGTGATGTGGCCGAAGACTTTCTTTTTTACAAGAATGAATGAGTGAATCAATCAATCAGACGAATGACGGTCACAGACCACGGATCCCGCATATTGAATATACCAACCTATACGACCCTCTTGATATATAATAGTATCATCCATACCTTCACCTATGGATTAAAAATAACACCAGCCTATTACTTTCTTGCTGGTTGAATGCGGTGCGGATCAAAATTTTATTTTTTAAAACGAAGCAATAGCCAACATTTGAATGTCTGATCTACTACTCATAAAGGACGAAACGGGAATAATTGCTGCCAGTGGAAACAACAATAATGATAATGTGACTTCCACAAATAACAAGCTTCCAGAAACTCGTCCTATTATTACCGATGATGCTCCCATAATAATAAGAAGAAGCAGCAGCAGCAGCAACAGCAACAGCAGCAGCAGCAGCAACAGCGCTCTCAATCGGTTACAAGTGGAAAACAGCAACTCAATGGAACCCAATTCTCAGGATACATCCGAAAACTTTCTGGAATTCATCATTGATGAACCAGCTATTATACAGCAGGCACCTGATGGTACTATGATTGACAGCAGCGCAATAAAAACAACGGACATCAACGCAAACACTGCTTATTCTGACGCAACAAACGAGCCATCCAGAGGGGATTATTGTACCAATAATAATACGGCAGAAGCCATGATTGCCGAAAGGTATCGACGAGAGTTTGAAGATCTACTCGAGCGAGACGAGCGTGGTGATCCAATCGA